TTTTTTTTCGTGTCAAGTGAAGTCAAGTCTGGTTGATGTGGAGAAGGTTAAGGTGCGAATTGTTGGAGGAGGGTGTGCTTCAATCTTTGATGTATCATAAAGATTTTCTTCTGTTGTCTTGCACAAGATTTACCCTCATTTAGAGGGGCCTTTGGATATGGTGTGCAAGCTCTTGGTGCTCAAGACAGTACTTGCCTTGATCGTTCATTCATTCATCCATGTCACTAGTAGGATGTCCGTAGCTGGAGAGTGATTGTGGTGTTCCTTTTTATCATTCTTTTTTAAATTTATATATTGCAAGGTTTTGGATTTTTTTTTTTTTTTTCCTTTGGAACATTGATGCCAATAGCTATTGTATTAAAACTTTATAAATTAGAGTTTGCAGTCAATGCACTTGGAAATTTGATGGTTTTGAAGGCTTATATATTGAGGTTGCTTTGTAAATTGGAAATTCCTCCGACTTGCCATTGCAACTGTATAAACCCCCTCTCGTCTGCTCTTCTATTCCTTTTCACTTTTAACATATGCTTTAATTGCTGCTGGAATTCTTGTCTGGTATGAAGGAAAGCTTGCTAGAGTAAGACCTGCTGATTCAAAAGCCACCCATTATAGTAACCATTATTACACATCCAAATCTCAAATATTTGTCCCTCGAAATTTGGAATACCACCTTCAAAAATATGTTGATGATAAAAGGAAATTTGAATTTTTGGTAACCTAACATTCCCAACCCCTCTTCCTCTACCCATTAAACATTACCAAAAAAACCTTGTACAACTAAAGATTGTACAACTTAAGTCATTACATGAGAGGTAAACCGCCTCATATTGAGATTGTCCCCATTTAATAGTTCTTACTAAATTACAAAATAAGAAACTCTAAATATTATCACAATTAGATTCCGTGAATGAAAAGTAGTTTTTTCAACTCACCTTTAGACCTTGTTTGATCGTCCAAAAACAGACACCTCTAGATTTTTCAGTGTAAATTCTAAGTCAGAACTCAGATGCATGTGACCTGACTAGAGAGGAAAAGGAAATGAATAAAACATATTTGATTTTGCGTTTGCGGCATTTGACTGGGTGAAGATTGATGCTCGAATTACCGAAAATCATCTAAGCATAAATATGGTCTTTCATGACAAAAAGAAAATTTACTCATCATATATTCCCCAAAGCCTAAAACTACATAACCATCAGCCAGAGCAAGAGTTGCATAGTCATTTTGTATGCTAAAACCACAACCAACAATTTTGGTAAGGCAAAGAAAAAGGCAATAAATAGCAACCATCGTCCTTACAACCACAAGGGCAATGTTAGACATAATATTAATTAAAGCAGGAGAGCAAAAGAGTTGCAGTGTCATTTTGTATGCGTTTGCAGGCAACATTGCGACCTCAAGCACTCTCAACTTTCTGTCTACTGAAGGACAAAGCAGGAAAGCAGATATCAAGTGACACACCATCACTAGCATCCTCCAACATCCAAGATTCATATATGACCCAGCATATGTTGGTTCAAGCATTCTGCCTGACAGACTTCATAAGGTCTATGAACTCCCTAAAAGCTGTACCAGAATTTACTTTGTGTCAATGTCATGTGAATAAAAGAAATATTAAGAGTGTAAAGGGGACAAAGGACCCTGCAATATCTGGTTTAGGGGGAAAAAAATGATTTAAGAGAGAGAGTAATGGCAAAACCCTCGTACTGTGCCCTTCCCCTGACTTTTTGATGATGGAATTACTTAGAATCTGCATTTGCTTTGGTTTTATTTATCTCTTAGCAGACCTTAGGAGCAGGCAATTTCCATAAAATGAATTTGGAAACTTTCACTGTGCATCTTCTTCTTCATTTTTTTTTCTTTTGTCCCTTTTTATCAGCACTTTCACTACACAGTACGCATCTGATATTTGCAGAGGTTTATTAAAGAAAATCCTCCTTACCACAATCTGAGTCATGAGGCCCTGGGGATGCTTCAGGATGGTATTGAAGAGACATAATTTTCAGTGCAGGATAAGCAAGACCAGCACAGCTACCATCATTGAGATTGACATGAGTCACTTCCACACCCTCAGGGAGTGATGCTGGATCAACTGCATAGTTGTGATTCTGCCAGATAATAAATTTTAAGGTGAGAACTGAAGTAACTAAGCAAACTACATAACTGCAAAATTAAAAGAAAATTATCAGAACCTTTTTTGTTATAAAATAACATGTATATGTATATATGAAAAGAGGTTTACCAGCTCAACTCACCTGAGCACTAATCTCAACGCAACTATTTCGAAGGTTGCGAACTGGATGATTCCCTCCATGGTGACCAAACTTCATTTTGAAGGTTTTGCCCCCTAATGCCTGGCCAAGCAACTGATGTCCCATGCAAATTCCAAAAACAGGAACGTTTCCTATAATTTCTTTGACTGTTTCAACTGCATAAGGAACTGCAGATGGATCTCCTGGGCCATTGCTAAAAAGAACTCCATCTGGCTTCATTTTTAGAGTTTCAGATGCAGGCCAAGTTGATGGTACAACAGTGATTTTACAACCATAAGATGATAATCGCCTTAGGATATTATGTTTGATCCCAAAATCATATGCAACAACCTTCAATTCAGAAAGGCAGTAAGTAGTGTAAGAGTAAACTCAAAGCTAGAATTCAGTAGCTCCAAAATGAAATTTGGAAAATATACTAACACGATAGGCTTCTCCATCTCTACCATCACAATTAAAGTCCCATGCTGACTTTGTTTTATCAACCCACTCATAAGGGGCATCACATGAAACTCCACTTATTAAATCAACACCTGCAAATGTTAAAAATGAAAATTAAGGGCTTTCTTTCCTTCACAATGTTTATAATCCCTTTCAAGTACAGCAGGTAATTCTTACCAACAATGTCCCACGAACGAGATATTTCCAAAAGTTCTCCATCTGTTTTTGAATTTTCAGTGCTCAATACACCAATAAGGCTTCCATCTTGTCTCAATCTACGAGTTATTGCACGTGTGTCGACATCATCTGCCACAGAACAAAAATGACTTTGGTCTAAGAAGATGATAGCCAATGGAATATAATGCATAACTACTTGATCAGTAGCTAGATATCATCAGTGACAGGAAATATAACTTACAAATTCCCATGATATTCCTTTCTGCTAAATAATCACCAAGTGTTTCTGCACATCTCCAATTTGAAGTCCTGAAGGCATTTGTTTGAAATTTGAATAAACACATGAACTATCATATGTGGTAAAGCTGTCTATGCACTTTCTTAGACCAACAATGATGAAGGAAACTTACATTATGCTTAAACTTCTAATCACTAGACCAGCAAGGAAGCATTGCCTTGATTCTTCATCATCTGATGGGAAAGGCATCAATTATTAGACTATATGTAGTTTTCAATAGTGGAGGTGGAAAGGCATGAACAGAAAATTAAACCTACCAAAATTTACCCCAGTATTGCCAATATGTGGATTTGTCATCAGGACAAACTGACCAGCATAGCTAGGGTCTGTGAGAATTTCTTGATACCTGCATGATCAGTATATTGTGGCAATCAAATCAAATAGACAGCACAAAAAGATAAATACATGTGCTTAGTTAAAATCAAAATGCTAAAGACGTTGCATCAATCTAGACCCAGACTTTGGAAGACGAACTCCAGTATATAACTTATCATTCCAACGTCCAAACATAACTAGCAAATGATCTTTGATGCTGACATAAGGAACACACTATACAGGATCAATGAGCCTTAACCATCAAATCCAGCTTCCCCTATATATTTGACACTCCCATCAATTAGATATCCATTTAGCAGCAGAAGCCAGAAAATGGAGAGCCTGATGTATAAATAACAAATAAGTAGAAATAATCATGCACTTGGAGTAAAAAATCAAATCTAACATCCCCCCATCTTAAAAGCTAAAAGTTGCTAACAAATCTTTCATCGAAAAAGGTATTTCAATTCACTTGAGATGAATTATGATTCAAAAGTTATCTTACCCCGTCAGAGATGTATTGAAAACCACTTCACCAACTTGGGTTCCTGAAGCACCAAATGATTTAGCTCTCCAAATAGAACCGTCTTCAAGAACAAGCCTAGCATCCGCCACTTTCCATGGCCTCTCCACGAGACCTAAAGCTCCATCAATAGGATTTCACGATTCACATCAGCACAAAGGAGCTTCAACGAACATGATAGGTACAGAGAACATGAAAGGAAAATAGCGGGGTTACCAGTGGCGGCGCTGTCAGAGGAGAGAGGCGCAGAGCATCTGATTGTGAAAACCCTAACCTTGGTGAGTTTTGGTGGATTGATAGAAAAGCAAGCATGTGGGTTGCTTCCAAGCGCAAAGTCCATAGCTTTCGTTGCCATTCTTTGTGCTGCGCTTCCTGAGAAGTCGGAAGAAGAAAACCTCAAGCCAAAAGTACGGCGTGCTTAGTGCTCACATTCGTTTCAATAGTACCCCTGTGTTGGTCCTGAACTTATTTTGTTTTCCTAACTAAGACCATATATGTTTTTTTTTTTATCATTTAAGCTCCTCACTACATGATATAGGCAATAGGCATGCATTTCTAATTCTATGTTCAATGTTTATTGTTTAATACTATCCCATTTTACTTCTCACAACGAAGGTTGTTAAACTCAGGAGTTTAGTTTAAGTAAACTTATTTTGGCTAATTGAAATTAGAATCATATATAAAATTAAATTGGTAAAATCAAAAGTTTATTTAATTATTATTTATGTATTATAAAAATATTATCTATAAACACTATTGTAATAAGTAAAATAAACTAGAGATGGTAATTGTTTTTTAAAAAGTATTATTTATCTGTATAATTACTATAATATACCAAATATTAATCGAAATTAATTTGATTAAAACAAATTCACTTCTTTTTTTTTTTCTTATATATTGTGCTAAAAAAACACTATGTGAAAGCAATAATATCATGTGCAATCATAGGTAGTTAAGGCTAAAGTTTATATAGTATAAAATAATATGACTTCATATGACATATGAGTATTATCTTTCTAGTCTTTATTAGGAGTCTATTTTATTGGTCATAAATTTTGACTAAAGAATCTCTCACAAGAGTTAATATTTGTTTTATCTTAAAATTTTGAGTTGAATGATTAGTGAATGAAATATTTACTTTCTTATAAAGTTTATCTTTCATAAATTTTTTACCTAAAAAGGATTTATGTAGTCAATGGAGCAACAACGTTCCCAAACAGAGTTTTCAAAGAATAACACAATTAAACACAACTAAGGCTTTGCTCAATCATTTTAGCTTAATTGGGAATTGACAGTGTAGTCCTAATTAAGAAAAAGATGCTTCCCTACTTTTCAAGTAGCAAAGCAAACTAGACAGCATCTCAAAACAAAAATGATTGTTATGTGATTTTCCTTTTTTTTTTTTTCTTTAACTTAACAGTAAATGGCCAGATAATTTAGTACAGAGGCTTAATTGAATTGAAAACAACTTTGATGAATGGATTGAAAAAGAAAATAAGTATACAAAAATTTATATTGTAAAAAAATATGTGAAAAGATATTTCAAAATTATATTATTTTAATAAAATTTTATTAAAAAATTAAAATTTTTAATTTTTTAAGTAAAAATAAGAATATTTTAATATTTTCTTGTTGGGTTTTATTAAAATAATATAATTTTAAAATATTTTCCATTTAAACTTTTACGAGTTTCAGTAATAAACATTAATATGGTAAGTATATTATATTTTGATTTACAGTTCGGGAATCGGGATGGTTAAAGCTGGCTTGGGCTCGAACCCACAACTCTACCACCCCTCAGCATTCAGCGAGACAGAAAAAGCCCAACGAAAAAACTAATTGGGCCTTTATTTTGGGCTGTTGCCCAAAACAAAACCAAAAAAAAAAAAAAAACCGCCCAACCAGTGGAGACTTTCTTTAATGGCTTTCTGCAATTCGATATCCGCTTGAACTTGAACACTACCCTTCTTAAAAATCCAATCTTCCTCTGTGGATTTTCTTGTTTCTGTGTTTCAGAAGAACCAGAATAGCAAGATGGCACGTAACGAGGAGAAAGCTCAATCGACGCTCAATCGATTAATCTCCATGAAGGCCGAGGAAAAGAAGAAACCCAAGGAACGCCGCCGTACCTCGCCTCTGAGTGTCGCGACCTGCCGAGGCGGACAAATCGCGCCAGCAGATCATGCGAGAGATTGGCTGTAAAGTCGCCGAGATCCTGAACGAAGGATTGGGCGAGCACCGCTTGCGTGACCTCAACGATGAGATTAACAAGCTGATTCGGGAGAAATCGCATTGGGAACGGCGTATTGTGGAGCTCGGCGGCCCGAATTATGTTAAACATGCTCCCAAGATGACGGATTTGGAGGGGAATATAATTGACGTTGCCAACCCTACCGGACGAGGGCCTGGGTACCGGTATTTTGGGGCGGCGAAGAAATTGCCCGGTGTAAGAGAGTTGTTTGAGAAGCCACAGGAGCTGCGAAAGAGGAGAACTAGGTATGATATATATAAGAGGATTGATGCTAGTTATTATGGGTACGGGGATTATGAGGATGGGGTGTTGAAGAGGGTGGAGGGTTCAGCTGAGGCAGAAGAGGAGTGGAGGAGGGTTGAAGAGGTGAGGAGAGAGGCGCGGAAGTGGGCAAAGGAGGTGGTTACTGTTGGGGCAACGAAGGAGGTACTGTTCGAGGAGGAGAGGAAGGAGAGAGAAGAGAGGCAGAGGCAGTTTGTCGTCCATGTTCCACTGCCAGATGAGAAGGAGATTGAGAGGATGATGGTGAAGAAGAAGAAGAAGATGGAGCTCCTGAGTAAGAACGCAAGTGAAGGGCTGTTGGAACAGCAGAGTGAAGCCAAGGACATGCTTAACATTCATCGGTAGAGTATGTTAATGGAATTAATCTTAGTGACTTTTTCTTTATTTGATTGGTTGGATTGCTTTTACATTCCATGTCAAATTGAGTTAGGAGAGTAGTGATCTCATTTTTATCAATGAATATATGTTACATAAAATGGGGAAGAATGTAAATCTGAAATTTTATTTTATTGCTGATTAATGTTGAAGACTAGAATTCTTTTGTACATTTGGGATTAGAATCTTCTGGATTTAAGTTTTCCTGCTGCATAATAGCTTGATCTTTCCCTATTGTTTGTACTTAGTTGCATGTGATAGATGCATGGCTTTATGTTTTTCACATGCTTCAGGGTTGCAGTTGGAAACTCTATGGCTACTCTTGCTTCATGTGTTGGAAGCTGTATCAGTACTAGATTCTACCTAAACTAGTCCTGGTATCCCAGGATAGGAGATTAAATCTGGAATACATACAAATACAGTTACATCTACATGACTGCTACTGAAAGTTGGGAAAATGAGATTTCCCAGAGCTGTTGAGAGGGACAACAAAGAACCATAAAGAAAACAGGTTTTTGATAGGGTGTTAATGTTGACTTAATTGGTGATGGATGTAGATTTCTAGTGCACATGAATGAGAGTTCACGGGCATATTGAAGTTACAAGTTAATCATTGATTTGAAATTTGACATCACAGGGAGCTCTCATTTTTCAATCTTGCCATACAACATTATTTCTAGTAAATGAATATCAGATGCTTCATGGAACTGATGCATTGTTGCTTATATATACAAGCCCTTGAATTTGTAAATTGTTCACATTGAATTGAATTGCTCTTATGTTGTTCGTATAAACTGTTATATTTTACTCTTTTTTTGGCAATCTTTCTCATTATTGTTGTTCTAAATTTAACTGCAAAGCAATAATCTGTGCCTCTACTAAGAAGAAAATTTTGATCTTTTGCAATGGAGGAAAATGATGATTGTGCTTTCCATTTTATATTTTTTTCCTTCTATCTAGTCCCATCTGCTATTTTTCTTCATCTGTATTTCCTTGTTTGTGCAGGAGAGAGTGTTGAAAGTCCAAACCATCCCTTATTCTCAACTATATTTTGATATCTATGTTGTTCTTTTTTGAATGAGTGCTCCATTTTGCAGTCTGGACTGCAAAACAGGAACTATTGAATGGGGGAGGACATGCTCAAATGTCAAGAGTCTACCCCTATCCAGTGGTTTGAATTGTGCAGTTTAGACCGTACAACCCCTTTTTTTGGGTCAATATCTATTGGTTTGCCTTTAGCATTCATATTTTTGGAGAGTATGCCACAACATTAATGGCTTGGATGATATACCTATGGTGGGGGATATTTTGGACCCCAGGTTTTTCCTCTTGGATTGCAAGATTGTGATTGTGTCATAAACAAGCTTCAAGCATTCTTCTTCTACCTTCCAATTACATAAGCAAAATTAATTTAAAAGTCGCTTGTGATGAAACATAAGAAAAAATTATTCACAAAGTCATAGCATCTCCCAGTAGATTTTCTGGTGCAAGAGGGTACAAACCCAAGTGCAATAATCTCATGCTCCAATGGGGAACTGAAAGTAATTCATGAGAAGACATCTTATTTTTCTCATTCTGGATATTGGATGAACCACTTGAGAAGTGATGAAGAATGGCTGGGCAAGCCTTTTAGCCATGAATTTAATCACATGTAGAGACACAATCTTGCTTCTCCAGCCTCCAGGGCTCTAGACAAGAAGGAGAAGCTTAGGAACAATAACATGAAGCTGATTTGATTTGACCATTCGTAGGCTCTTTAATAAGAGTTAAGTAACAAACTCAATTTTAAAGGTAATGAAAAACCAGGAGTCATCGCTGCAGAGAATAGCTTTGGGTTCCACCAAAGATGGAAGGACGGGCAGCAAAAACCTTCACTCAAAGGGGCTGCTCCCATTTCTCTAATAGACCAATAACCTTGAGCTTTTAGACAATTAATATCCCTAAATAATGGTTATCGTCCATAATTTCAATTAAGTCAAAGCCAAACACTTAAACTTCCAGGAAATTGGAAGTGAATCTGTTGTGTCTAAAACATGCAAAAGCTGATAAGAAACAAAAGTGGCCATTAATATAGATGTGAATCCCACATCACTAGAAAATAAATGAGGAAATAGTTAGTTGCTAGTATTAAAATAAAGGCAGTTGAAATATTGTGGTATCTTTGCGCTTGGGGCAATGACGCAGCTCATGAGGTTCTAACCGAGGCGCGTCTATTGCTGGTTGAAAACTATTTCCAAACCCCCTCGTAGGCCTGGGCAAGTCTCAGGCCTTCGAGAATTTCTGGAAGGGCTCCCTTCGGGGTAAAGCCCACAATTCTGTAGTCAAAATTTTCTAGCCTTTTGAGAATTGTTGGAAGGTCTCCCTTCGGGTAGTGCCCACAGTTCTATGGATAGAATTTTCTGGTTGGGTTAGTAATTTTTAGTTGTATTTAGGGACTTAAGTTACAGCTGTTTTAAGACTTCCAGGTATCTAGAACTTTTTAGCCGTATTAGAGGACGTTGGTTATTGTATCAAACTTTTCAGTGTTTGATACCATAAATTGGATTCGCAATAGCTAGTCATAAACTGGGTTTGCAATAAGGGGGGTCCTTTGGGGGGAGTGGCCGAGTGGGAATCCCCCTAAGTAGAATCAAGTGTGTGAACCACGGGTGTGGGACACGGGACTCAATTCGTAGTTGAAAAATGATGAAAGAGAGCCAGAAGTTGTTGAAAAAATAGAGCAGAATGTTTCTCTATCTAACCATGTTATGTTGAATTACTCTTGTAGGTTTGTCATTGCTAATTCATCCTCTTTTGCATAACTATGTGCTGGTTAATTAGTTGATAAATGGGAGGTTTTCTTGAGGATGAAAGGGGAATTTTATGGAGTTCTTCGAGCTGGAAAGTAGACAGTACACTAAAATCCCACATCGAAAAAAATAAGGAATCAGTAACTAACGTCTGACAACATAAAGACGCTCTCAAGGAAGGGAAATGTCACGGAGTCATGTGGTGAGCACAGAGCGAACTATTCTTTCGCCTTTTACTAAAGAATACCGTGTGCTCTCCACTTTAAAGTGACATACGCCAATTTTTGGAAGGGTATTCTTAGCGAGTGCCCTAACAAAACCGAGTATTAAAAGTTGTTCGGGGATCTATCCTAATCTTTCATTTAAATGAATTGGGTACTTGGACTATGCGTTTGCCCACAAGTTCTGTGCTTTTTCACCCACAAGTAGTTCGGCAACTATGTTCAATCCATAACTAAAAAGCATTCTGTTTAGAAGCAAAATCCGGCAGAATAACATTTCATATGGCCACCTAATTAGAGATATAAGGTCTCCAATCTGTATAGGACTTGCATTTATTTCAGATTAGTCCATCAATTAGCTTTGGTTGAGTTGCATTTTTCTTTAATCTGTTGGCCAGCTTTTAATAAGCTTATGAACACTGGCCAATTTAACCCTTGTTGCCAGGAGTCCTTGGTAGCTTAATGATTTGTCATCAGCAGCTTAATCTCTCAATCTTTTTGCTGCATAGAAAGCTTGGAAAAAGTAGTTTAAAGCACTCAGTTTTCAAACAAAAACCCTGGGGGTAACATTCCCTATTATTGACATCGAAGGACTGTTCACTGACTATGTGGTTCAGGGAACCAATGTATATCACCACATGAACAAAAATGATTTGGGCGCTGTTAATGTTGTCATTCTTTTTTGAAGAGCTCATACATGGAAAGCCTTTTCTTGGAGTTCTTCACTGCATAGGGGAGAATGACTAAATGACGGCAAGACCCTAACTCCCACATCAAGAAAAGCAATCAAGCAAACAGCATCCAACTCTCACCAAAACTAGTTTAAATGATTTTTTTCTACTAAAATCTATTAATCAGAATGAAAATAGCTTGTTTTCTCTTACTAAAATTTTAAATTTAAGTTTTATAAATAAAAAGCGTTAATAAAGTTTCTCTTATGTGATTTTTTGATATCAAGAGTTTAGGGTTCAATACAAAAAAAAAAAAAAAAAATTTCCCTCTTCGCTGTTTGTATTTATGGTCTATAAAATTTCTAGTAGCATTGCTTTGCAAGTTATATATTCATGTTCAACTTTGGTTTTTTAATCTTCGAACAATTTGACCTGAAATAAGAGTCATTTGGTATCCTCTTGAAGAAAACCATACTTTGTTAAAAATCTTCGGAACATCTAGTCTGAAGGACAGTTCACAAGCAAAATAGTGCATTTCATTTTCAAGTTCATATACAGCCCCAACATACCGTTTGGCTCCGTAGTAACCAACACAAAAGCAAACACAACTTTATACTGGGTATTGGTAGGGGCCGCGCGAACGCAGGCCCCCGCTGCCACAAATTATGACGTAGGCTCTCCCACTTGGGGAGACCTTAGGCGAGTGCACCTCCTAAGTGCAATGGAGGCCACTCACCTAGGCCATGGGCCTTCTTGGTCACCCATTGACCCCGTCCAGGTAAGTATGTTTCATCGTTGGGCTAGGTTCAGTTTTTCTAGTTCAGTCGCGCCCTCAAACTTTCTAATTTGTCGATGTGGGATTCAGTTATTCCTCACATTTCTTCCATACTCCTTCTAATTTAACCTCAAGGTCCCCATACTCTTTCAATTTGAGCATAGTACTGTGTTAAATACCAAGATATCTAAGGATTTGCAAATCAAAGTAGTTACTTTGAAGATGAAAGAGATTTGTTGGAGCTCTTCACTACATGGAGGATAAAGACTAAATGACACTAAGACATACTCCCTCATCAAGAGGAAAAAAGTGAGCAGCAAGAGACCCTTGACAAAATCAAAGAACCAAGTGACCGTGATGTGTAGTAAGCACAAAGCTAACTATTCTTCTGCCTTTTACTAAAAAATACCATATGCTGACCACTGAAAGTAGCATGCCCCAATTTTTGGAGTACTACTCTGTATGAGTGCCCCAATGGAACGTAGTCAAAAACAGAATAATGTTTCTCTTAAATGTGTTTGGTTTACTGTCCCTAACATTTTTCTCAGGATTCTTCTACAAGATTCTATGGTCTGTTTCTGCAATTTCTAGTTGAGTGATATTGAACAATTACTGCATTATACTTTGCTTGCCCACGAGCAGTCTATTTCGTGCATAGAAAGTAAAAAACTCGAATGTTTCCCCTTCATGTTCACAAGTCTCAGAAGAAAAGGCCCTCATCATACCACACGCCTTCCAAACTTGTTGGAGACTACACAAGTTAATAAGTTAATAGATGAGAACTATAAAACTTCAACTAGAAAGAAACTTCAACTAAAAAATTGGTAGTGGCCACAAATTATGTCATAGGCTCTCCCACTTAGGGAGACCTTAGGCAAGTGCACCTCCCAAGTGCAATGGAGGCCTTCTTGATCACCTATTGAACCCGACCAGGTAAGTATATTTTAAGGCTGCTGTAGGCTCGGTTTTCCTATTTCAATCCCACCCTTTGACCCCATAATTTATCGATATGGATTAAGGTATATCTGCATTCTAAAAATAAAAGTTCTGTCCTTGCAGCATTTCTTCCATACTACCTCCACTCTAACCTCAGAGTTCTCTGTACTCGTTCAGTTTGAGCATAGTAGATAAATACAAGATATTTGACTTTGGATATGCAAATAATGAGTTATGATCCACTTACATACAATTCTTCCGCACATCATTATTGAAATTTATCCACTTTTTATCTTTATTTTTAAAAATAATTATCTTTTTCATCTAAAAATTGTGATAAATCTCAACAATTCATAATGATAAATGGTCAAAATTTTGTGTAAGTGATATGTATAAGTGGATCCTAACTCAAAAAAATGTCCTTGTGCTTATAAGTAGTATCATATCCATGGTAAAAAGACAAGCTGAAATTCTAGACAGATTTCAGGTCAAATTCCTTATCTTTATAATAAGATTTTTTGAAGTTCTTAAATTTGTGTCAAGAACCATGGTTAGCGCACTTCTTCTTCTTCTTCTGATCTTTCCAATATGAAGGTGTTGCCTTTGTTATCTCTCCCTATCCTCATGTCATCATCAATATATCTGAAGTAGCCAAATCAAGGAACCAACGCATTCTTCACCATTCCAGTGTCATTCTCTTGTGGAAATTAAGAACATTTCTTACTTTCCTTTTCTATGAAACAATAGAAGTAGTGGTATACTATATCAAAAGGATACGTGATCTCAAGCCAACCTTCTGGATTAAAGATTGCAAGCAAAAGATCATAATTTTTCTTGAACATGTTCATCAACTGGCCAAATGAAACTTTGAAGTAAGAAAAACAAATACTTGCCTTTATGTCGATTGGTGCACTGAAATGCAGCTTACCTGGTCAGGTGTGATTGTTGAGCTATCATAACTTATATCCACTTTCTGCATAATTGGGTAAAAATAACCTACTTCAGTCATGATTCTGTAACATTTTTTAACCTTTTTTTTTTTTTTTGTATTAAAGATGCAAAAAAATAAGAGAAAAAAGGGTAGGAACTTCTAACTGATTTTGATGCAATTTTGAAGGAAGCTTCAACTGTCAGCTTTCCATTTAGGAAATTCAATCCTCTGGCATTGAACTTTATCACATTAACTGCTTTGCTCTCCAGTTTTGTGGCATCAACAAATGCTAAAAATGTTAGTAAAAGGGCAACCAACATTACAAACACAGAAATACAGTCTCATGGAACAAACACTTTCTTTCCTATGATAAGGAAATTGTATACCTTTTGGACATCAATGGTCTGGAGAAAATCTCCCAAGGAGATAAAGTCTCTCAATCCTAGCTTTGTTCTTTTTGAACCCAAGATTGTAATTGTACCATAAACAAGCTTCCAGCAGCCATCCACCTTCCAATTATACAAACAAAACGGAAATTAGCTGTTGAAAGCTTATTTTGAGAAACCAAGTGTGTACCTGAGTTTTTACCTTGTCTAGATTCAGGGTAGGTTCTGGAGTTGGGTTCTGAGATTCCAGCTGCTTCACCAGGCCTTCAATCTCAGATTTCTTCGCAGATGGTACTCCAAAAATCCCTCTATTGATACCTTGAGTTATGAACAAAATCATATATGCAAAGAAGGAATTCAATATTTCTTCATTTAAGTACTTTCACAATGTATGGCAAGCAAATGTAAATATCCATACCATTGAGTGCCTTGTAGAGGTCTGTTTTAAGCTGGAGAAGAGTATTCCGATTTGATGGTTCTTTTTGTTCCTGTATCTCTTTCTCCTCACCAACCAAGCTAGGGTTGTGTTCTGCAACTTTGATGGTGTAACTTGGTCTAACCCCAGATGAGCATTCAGCAGATCTTATGCTCCTTATCCTAAAATGTGTGGCTGTGATGGCTTTGTAAGATATAACATCTTTTGAATGATTCAGGATATTGGAGGAACCACTTGGAAGGATGGGGTTGCGGGTTGTAGAAGCTTGTTGGTCATGAATGCAGTCATGGGTACAAGAAGTTTTGCTTCTGTGTGTTCTGGAAGGAAAGACGAAGTTCAGGTACATGACCAGATGGAAAGAAGCCGAAGTAACTCTTATCTTCAAAGTTGTAATCTTGCGGGTCTAGCTGTATATTTGTTTTTATTTTATTTTATTTTATTTTATTTTTTTATAATATTGCAATTATTAGTGAATGGAAAAAGAGGTTCGTAGGACTCAAACAACCAACACCCAATGTAACTAGACCAGAATGGGTTGTTGTAGTTGTACATTTGTTGGTGGTTAGCATTAAAGGTTTTTATAATATATAATTATTATATTTTTTATAGTTTACAATATTAAAATTTTAAAAATATAAAAATAATTATTAAATTTACTATTAATGATATGTGAATTATTTTAATTAAATATTTAATTAAATAAATGTTATTTTTTTTAAATGCTTGGGAGTGAGTTAAATCTTACCCCTTTAAATTTATAGGAGAAGTTTCTATCACGAAAATGATACTCATTAGGCCACTGAGACATTTTTATTAATTTTTATATTTTAAATATTAATTAATATAAAAAATAAATAATTGTACTTGGGGAACCTAATAATAGTACTCCTAACTTTTTCGATTCATTTAAAGTTGTCTTGATTAATACTATTTTAATAACCCTTTCAGGGACGGAGCCAATGAAGGAGAAGGGGGGCGGCCGCCCCACTAAACTTTTGAAAAACGTTTAATATTGTACTCTAATTTTTGTTTGTTAAAAATTTTGTTTTTATAGTATGAATTTAAGGGACCATTTCAAATTTAAAGAAAATATTTAAGATCTAAATAAAAAGTTTTCAAAAAATATATATAATTCAAGTAAAATGAATTTATATCAACTAAATAATTGAGAGCTAGGGTTCTTAAATCTTTTTTCATCTATTAAGCTAAAAAAAAATGACCTTGATTATTTATTTAAACAACTTTAAATTTACAAATTTTTTAGTATTTTTTTTTTTTACTTTGTTCTTAATATTCTATGTAAAAGTTTAAAGTGTTTTTTTTTTTTGACATGAAAGTCCAATTTTACCTTTTATGATTGAATTAATAATATTTTATTTTTGTTAAATCAATCTAAATTAGAGTTTATTTTCTAAAAG